CGCCGGTCTTATATACTATAAAAGCGCGAGTCTAGCAAGCGCTCGAGCCTTCAGGAACGTTCTAGATACTTATTACGTATTACCAGCTTCAGGTGAATTCCGCTGTCGTAACAGTATATATAGTTACCAAATTTTCTTTTTTTTTTTTTTCTAGGGTTCTAGTTCAGAATCTGGTAAATCCGGATTAGGTCGCGTGCTAATGCAACCCTAGGCGTTACTCACCATAGCACGAGCCGGTCAAGGCGGTTAGCTGGTGTTTTATAATCCTGAAGTGACATTATTTTACGAATTTCACACGCAGCAGAGAAACTCCTGGATTCCCGTGATCCAGATTTGTAACTGGTGAACTAAAGGAAAAAATATGTGCTGTCAGAGCAATTTTATAAATTTTCCCCTCAGATTCGTGTCCATCTTGAAATACTTAAGACTTGGTGTGAAGTCTATTTCTTGTTCAGAGTTTGTTGTCTAAACAATAACCGTGTAGTTGTGGTTTTTAACCTTTAAATCAAAAAGTGACATAGATACCATTATATTTTCAGTTACATACATGTTTTCTCGTTTGTTTAATATCAGTAATTTCTACCACTGTACATGATCAGCGTATCCATTTCAATTAATAAAACTGTTTGTTTTCTTCACGTCAAGTTCCGTGCCTTTCATTCGGCAAGTGACAAATCATTAAATTTACACACACAGTCTTCAAACCTCTTTTGTTATATTTACCGTCCATAAACCTGGAATCCCAATGTGGTAACTAGGACAGATATTATTTTTCATGCTGGTAGAGCGACGTTTCAGTTTTACTTTAGGATACAGTGAGAGGAACATTTCTACCGAATTTGTAGGAATTTAGCAAACGAATCAATAAAAACCAATTCAGACTTTTACAATATCATACATTGACAAATACTTTTAATTGTCCTTTGAAACGACAGATTATTATATCACAATTTCTATTCAAGTTTGACTGACATGTGTACTTACGTTAGTTAGGCTTAACAATTTTTGTTGAATTACGAGCCTAATGTTAGAAAGTTTTCATAACTTGAACTTTAGTTGTATTATTAACTTTGCGAGGGACTTACATTGTGATAATGTTGTTGTTCTTTTACTTTTTTTTTTTTGGTATTTGAGTTAGTTTTTAGTGTCAATTGTAACCATTTAGGCCTAACGTTAGTGTTTGGTTACAATCGTTTGTGTATTTTCCGTTTCATAGCCAGAGTAAAAGTCAACATTATTCTATTTGAATAAATTAAGGTGGAGAGAAAAAAAATAAATAAAAATCACACCTGATTTGACATTTGTATTCTTGTTCAATAAACTGTTAAGTTTTATTTGTTTAATTAAGTCTGTCGACTCCCAAGTTTTACAACTTGTAGTGTAGTTAGTGTCTGCTACTATAGATAGCTACTTCATTGGTAAAAGCATACAACTAGCTAAAGTTAATAAACGTATGTAAAAAGTAGTTAGTATCTTACACAGTTCTCCTAGTTCCTTTATATTGTCAAAAGCACATAAACTGGTTGTTCCTAGAGTCCCGACAACCTGAAGAGTGAGAATGATAACATTAATAAAATAAACATGTCCTCTTGACTTAAAAACTACACACGTCACCAAGCTACAAGAGATTGATGGGTGTAGACGTGATCGAAAACAAAAATGACACGACTTTACATCCTGGGAGAAATGTTATACTAGGTTACGTTTTTAGAGAAATGTACTGGTCATTCCTCCCAATGATATATTTTTAGGATTATGACCGAAAATACCGTCGACAACGATGGTACGTAATTGAAGAAACAATTAATTTCTAATGTTTATAAATGAAAACACAAGACAATTATGGTTAATTATCCATACTGATTCCCAAGGTTGATTCTCAGTTTCTCTCTTAGTACATAGCAGGGTCCCCTCAATCGTACTGTTTCAAGAGTAAATAAAACCAAAATTAAGAGCAATAAATTATTTATATTTCTCGCTTTTAAAGTTTGTATATCATGCTGTGTTGTAGCACATTTTACTGACAGTACATATTTCAACGTTAAGGACAAAAGATAAACTGGCATAGAATGACCATGCACGATTTATTAATGACAAAATAGCAACAAGTGGAAAGGGGAATTACGTCATTCTGCGGGTTCGACTCCCCGTTCCATCAAATACGCTCGCCCCTTTTCGGCCGTGGGGGCGTTATAATGTGACAGTCAATCCACTATTCGTTGGTAAAATGGTCCAAGAGTTGGCGGTGGATGGTGATTACTATCTACCTTCTCTCTAGTTTTTCACTGCTATAGTAGTGACGGATAGCGCAGATAGCCCTCGTGAATCTTTGCGCGAAATTCAAACCAAACCACTCTGCGCATATACTGTCATAAGTTAATAAGGCGTACCCAAATCTGTCATATAGCAGATTTTATAGCTCTAATACCTAAGGAAATTTGTAGCTTTAATTTTCAATGCTACGAACAAGGAGTTAGGCGCATAATTTCACAACTTAGAAAATGGGAGGCGGGCAACATTCTAGCTACCAAAAAAACATGCTTTAATCTGACGGTCGGGCAACATTCCAACTACAAAAAAACATGCTTTAAGTTGACGATCGGGCAACATTCCAACTACCAAAAACATGCTTTAAGTTGACGATCGGGCAACATTCCAACTACCAAAAAACATGCTTTAAGTTGACGATCGGGCAACATTCCAACGTTGGAATGTTGCCCGATCGTCAACATAAAGCATGTTTTTTGGTAGTTGGAATGTTGCCCGATCGTCAACATAAAGCATGTTTTTTGGTAGTTGGAATGTTGCCCGATCGTCAACTTAAAGCATGTTTTTTGGTAAGTAATGGGTGTTCTTACACCTTGTGGTTATTTAAGGTATTCATATTACCTTTTATTTTTTTTATTATCTAAATAGGCTCATTCTTCCGTGGAGAGATCTGGACTGCTTTGTGGAGTTGTGTGTCGCCCTATTCCAACAGACGAAAGTTTCAGCCTTCGAAGCGATATTCTCCAGGCAACAATTGACGAAGATCGTTCAAAAGGAAACATCCCGTTTTTAGTTAGTCCTCTTTCTCTATTAATGTCTTTTATTGCCGTAAAACTGGTTTGCTAATACCGTCAACATAAAGCATGTTTTTTGGTACCCCCCGTGTTTTATTGATGATTATATTATCAAAACTCGTTACCCCCCGTGTTTTATTGATGATTATATTATCAAAACTCGTTACCCCCCCGTGTTTTATTGATGATTATATTATCAAAACTCTTTATCCCCCACCCCCGTGTTTCTTTTTCGAATTGAAATTATTCTTTATCAATGTCATAAAAAAAAAAATTTAAATTTATCTAAATATAAGATAGATATTTTTTTTAACAATTTTAAAAATAAAATTAAGGAAATTCAAAAACAGTTTTATTATTACACCCATTGATAAAGCCGGTTGTAATTTTCGTGTTATGTGTAAAAAAATTATATGCACAAATTTTTACTCTTGACTGAGTGTAATAACGAGGGTTCTTACACCAGTGGACCTGAGTGTTACTTTATAATATCTGGTTTCTTTATGGTGTTAGACTCCGAGGGTATCCTTTCCTTTATACTCTTCGTAACTACTTTTATCTAATTCTCTTTGAAGAAAATGAAAACACCTAATTATTTACAATTCATTAATTTGTATATATATATAGTTTATAAAAGCGTTCAGGAAGAAATATCATTAGAACCTATAGTCAGTTTTCAATATTCTCTTTAATTATAAAAACTTATTCAGGAATTAAACTAATAATTTAACACGTAATTGTATGAACAGTGAATGTTTTGACTCTTATCATAATCATGTTATTATAGATAATTTAGATGTTATAAAATATAAAGAAAAAGTTGATTTTAGAAAAAGGAACTAAATATAGAATGGGGGAAAAAAATAGGTGAAATTTTAAAAAAGATTTCTAGAAAAAATTGATTATATTATCAAAACTCGTTATTTATAATATCTGGTTTAATGATACTGGAGAAACTGGTGTATTACACGTCAACCGAGGTATGCTAGTATAGCATACCTCGGTTGACGTGTAATACACCAGTTTCTCCAGTATCATTAAACCAGATATTATAAAGTATAGCATACCTCGGTTGACGTGTAATACACCAGTTTCTCCAGTATCATTAAACCAGATATTATAAAGCATAACATACCTCGGTCGACGTGTAATACACCAGTTTCTCCAGTATCGTGCCCCGGCTCCAGTCGGTAGTAGCTTGGATGGCGGTTATGGCTTTATTTCGGGCAGAAAGTAATGCGACCAATGTGCTTTCACTAGCGCCACTCTATAAAGTAATGTCAGAAAAACATATTAAAGGGTTAAAAATGGAAGGTACTTGAGTAAATAAATACATCACCCAAACAAGCAACGATTTAAGACCACAACTTAAAAACTTTATTCTGAGATCATCAACGATCTCAAAACAAACAACGTTTTCTCCAGATGACGTGATTGCGCATGCCTGTTTTGAGATTGTTAACGAATAAAGTTTTTAAATTTTATATCTTAAAAACGTTGCTAGTTTCAGGGTTAGTAACAAATACGTAGGTTAGGAAACAGGACTGTAGAAGTGGGCAACAAATACGTAGGTTAGGAAACAGGACTGTAGAAGTGGGCAACAAATACGTAGGTTAGAAAACAGGACTGTAGAAGTGGGCAACAAATACATAGGTTAGAAAACAAGACTGTAGAACTTAGTAACCAGTTTAATTATGTACTCGAACAGTATTCAAGACACCCGTCCCATACAAGTCCAATAATATCTCTTGTTAATATAAAACTACTAATTAAAATATTCACTTATTTTGTTTTCCATGGTATTTAGTTATGCCATCGAACGTATCTGACTTTGGAGTTTTTGTGTTCATACTTATAAGTGCAAGGTAATATGACAAGTATAATTCATTACTAAAGGCCAGATGTGTTGTTGATTCAGCAAATTTCCAGTTATAGAAACGTTTATGTGTTGCAAGCTATATCATTTTCGTCTATTTCAGTTTCATTATAACAAAATGGCTGCTGTTTCTTAGGTTGATTTTGTTTGTTTGTTGTCTCGGATATTAGCGCTAGGCTATACAGAAGCTAATCGCGTTAGCCAATCCTAATTTGGAACTGATAAATTAATGGAAAAGAATCTTGTTAAAATTACCCATTGTCACCTCTAGCTACTCTTATCGAATAGTAGATCTGACAGTCACTTTTAAGCGCACGATGTCTCCAAAATGTCGAGCACGATTTCGCAACGTACACCATGGAATGTCCGATTCTCCATCCAGAACAAACGTACTGTTAATTCTACATTTACTTACCTGTATCACACCTCCTCCCTTCCCGTTAGACGAAAACAAAAACTCATCAGGCAAGTCGATCATCTTTCCCAACCAGTCCAACATGGTCATCTCCAAATCAGTTGAGGCTGGACAAGAAGACTGCATGTAGGCAGAGATTAGAGTCGTGTATCAATTCATGCGATTTAAAATTTTAAATCATAAATTAAAAGTCTTACATTTCGCAAGAAATGTTGAAAGTATATCGCAGTACACTTACCCAAGAAAAGCCAATACATCCAAATATTCCACTTAACATTTCCCCACAAATGGAGGGAAAGGAATTTCCTGTGGGACAATAGGAATGGAATCGTGGAGAGCTCCAGTGGACCATCTGTAAAGCAGTTTAGGCTAGCGTTAATATTTTAAGTTAATGGTGCTAGAATAATGGTATGCTTAACTCACAAATAAATGTGCTTATAGAATTTCTAGATAATTACATCATCATCATTAGTTCCCTCCAGTAAGAATCTAAATCAAACTATTAAATAGGTTAGGTTACAACATTTTTGGATTATAAAGTTATTTGAACAATCCTAGAACACAAAACAGTACACCAAACATCCAATTCGCCCAAGCCTTTCTGTAGGCTTTCTTCAACAAAACAGTACACTAAACATCCAATTCGCCAAGCCTTTCTGTGGCTTTCTTCAACAAAACAGTACACTAAACATCCAATTCGCCAAGCCTTTCTGTGGCTTTCTTCAACAAAACAGTACACTAAACATCCAATTCGCCAAGCCTTTCTGTGGCTTTCTTCAACAAAACAGTACACTAAACATCTAATTCGCCAAGTCTTTCTGTAGCTTTCTTCTACAAAACAATACACTAAACATCCAATTCGCCAAGCCTTTCTGTGGCTTTCTTCAACAAAACAGTACACTAAACA